TCATAAAGAACTGTGCATGTAATGGATAAAATAAATGTAGTCATCTAATAATCAATTTCTTAAGACCTTAACCAGAACAGTCTTTTATGGATTAAGGTAAATCTATATCAACCTAATGGATTTAAAGACTCCTTCGTGATTAGCATGAATGCTTGCTATGGTAGCAGTGACTTAGAATGGATTCTGACTGCATTGGTAAATTTAAAGGTAGAAAAATGGCTTTATTGGTAAGATCCAAATTGTTTTTTTAGAAGTTGTTTTACAATTCTGATTTTGTTTTACCTAAAGATCTGGGGTTTTTAGTTAACCACAAATTCATTATATGATGCAGCTGGCACAGTCTTTGGCATCATAGAACTATGGAATTAGGAGAGACCACAGAGGTTATCTAGTACAGCCCATATTTGAAACGTGAATTGCTACTATAACATCCATGACAAGTAGTCATTTTAGCTTCTACTTGAAATCCTTCAGTGATGGGGAACTCATTACCTATTGAGATAGTCCATTTTGTTTTGGGACAGTGCTTATTATTAAACATTTTCCCCATATTGAGAAAAAATATGCCCCTTACCGTGACTTCAACTCCTTGTTCCTGTTCTACTGTCTGTGGCTCAAACAGCAAGTTTATTCCCTTCATTAGTTGACATAATGTCCACATCACAGGAGCTAATAATAATCCCATTTCATTCTGGCCAGATCATATCTGCAATATAGTCTTTAGTTATGGATACTGTATGTTATGGGCAGCTGTGTGGTGCAGTGTATGCTGGACTTGGAGTCAAGAAGACTCATCTTCATGAGTTCAAATCTGGCCTCAGACACTTACCACCTGTGTGACCCTAGGCAAATCACTTAACCCTGTTTGCCTCAGTTTCCTCATCTGTAAAATGATCTGGAGAAGGAAATGGCAAACCACTCTAGGATCTTTGCCAAGAAAACTCCAAATGGGGTCATCGAGAGTCAGACATGACTGAAATGGCTAAACAACAACAAACCGTATTTAAGAGGGACATTGGCAAATGGGAGTTTGCCATTAAGGGATAATGGACATAATAGCACATAAGGAACAGACCAAATAACTGTTTATGTTTAGCCTGGAGAAGAGAGGACTAATGATAGACAGGAGAGCTGTCTGAGTACTTGCAGAGCTGCCATCTTTCAAAGGGAGTTGTTTGTGTGTCATTTTAGGGGTTAAAACTAGCACCGTTGGGTGGAAGTTGTAGGAAGGCAAGTCTTGTTTTGGATCAGTATTAAGAAGAATTTTCTCATGCTTAGAGCAGCCCTCCAGTGGAGTAGGATGTGTTAATATGTTAGTCTTCATCACTGTAACTATTCTGGTGGAAACTGGGTGATTACCTGTCAGAAACTTAGAGTAATGGTTCTTGTGTTGGCTAAGTGTTCACCTCTGAGGTCCCTTCCAACTCCTAAGATGATAGGATCTTTACGTTGACTACACTTTCAGTGTGGCAGAGAGGTGACTGTGGCTTTTCAAAAATCATAAAGACAAAACACAAGCCCTGAAAAATGCTCCCAAGCTAGAAATGTTTCCATTTTAGGTCCGGTGATGTACTGTCACTCTTTTGTCTGAGAACAGCCCAGGTATGCTTAGAGATGCTCACCAAGTTGGCTGCAGCTTCAGGATGGGTTTAGCCAAAGTAACTTTTGAAGACTGAAGTCCTAGAGGGCTTATTATCAGCATCAGTGGAGGGAGTATCCACACTAATGAAATTTCAGAATCTTGGAGCACTCAAGTATAAAATCTGTGCACTAAGGAAATAATATAGTAATATAATTGGTATGTGATATATCTGTAGGGATAATTTTCACAAATTAAGCAAAATTCATGATAAATTTCCAGTATTAAATAGCTAAGAAAAATTAAGCCCTTTTGATATTATCATGTTGCAATTTTAAATGGAAGATGTGGGTTTTTTTAATCAATTGTTATATAATTTATTTAAGGGAAAAGGACAGTTAAAAACAAATCAAAAGATTCAATAAAACTATAGCAGATTTCATAATTTTATATTATAATTTTTGGCTTCCAAAATATAGGGTAATATAAAATAATAGTTGGCCAGATGGCGCTTTATAGATAGTTGTAATTGCTTAATTTTTTCTTAAATTTAATACAAAAAAGATTGATCTTTCAAATGTAATAATCATATCCTCTTACTAATAGAAACTCATTAAATGTTCTGTTTCCAGACAAATGATGTGTTTTTGTAAAGATTATTTGTAATACTGTTCCTTCTATGCAGGCCAGCTATATTTTTTTTTCACCAAACACTTATTTCCTGGCATTTATAAAAATTACCTGTTTTGTTTATGTGTTGATGGGACAACAATCTAACCTTTCAGTGCCTACTTCCAGACTACTCTTTAACTACAAAACCACTAATAGCTTGTCAGTCTGGACTGATGGAGGAAGTTTCCACATTAGGAGCTTCACATACCAATGGAATCAGAGGTCTAGACCCCTCTCCCCTCCAAAAAATATGCTACAGAGTTTTATGGAGTTTATATACATAGCATAATATTTAAGTATTTTTTAAAAAATGTGTGCATGTCCATTCACAGATTAAATTTAGACTTTTTTGCTTACATATAACGTACATATGAATTGTATGTGTATCTTTAATGAACATTACAGTTGAAAAAAACTCTTCGCTATTGTTCTACTGTCCACTTATTGTGAATCATCTCTGGTAATAACTACCTGTGCATTGTGACTTCTGGATTCTGTTTTTCCAGTTGATTTCTCAACAACAGAATAGTAGTTATGAAATTTTTTTAAACTGGGAAGATGATACATCCAGAAGACTTTCTTTGCTAAATTATGACAGTTGTATTCCAAAACAAGATATCTTTTTGAAATCATTTAAGTTGTGATTAGAGGCAAAAAAGAGGTGTGGGGTTTTTTTGTTTTTGTTTTTTACTCTTGATACCATTGTAGCGTTATTTTTACTGTATTTTTTGCAATTTAATACTGATTTTTACATGAACATTATTATCTCCACTCACTTGAATTGTACTTTGTAAAATTTCTGAGGAAACATATAAATAGCTGCATGGCCAATTAACTGCCATTTTGTAGATTAGTAGAAAAGTTAAAATGATAAACCCATCTAAGGGAACTAACTGCGCTTATCAAGGAAATATTATGTCAAAATTAAATTAGCTTCTTTTATTAAAAATATCCTATTATAGAAGAAAATTGAAATGCCCCTTAGGAATCTAGAATTATGTAGTTTCAGATGGAAGAGACCCAGAGTCATTGTAGTCATCTTACCCCTACTCGCTCTTCACAACAGACCTGATGATTGGTTCCCCAGCCTCTGCTCAAACACTTCCAGTGCCTTCCAAGGGAGTCCTTTCCATTTGGGGAGTTGCTTTAATTGTTAGCTAGTTCTATGATGTTGGCTTGAAATTTGCCTCCCTAAATCTTCTGCCTGTTAGTCCTAATTCTATCATCTGGAGTCAAGCAAAAGATGTTTAATCCGTCCTCCACAAGACAGCCCTTTCATGTACCTGAAGGCAGCAATCACAGCTGCCCCATAAGTTCTCCCTTGCAGGCTAAACATCTCCAGTTACTTTCTCCGGAGATTATATGACATCATTTACCTTTACCATCCTAGTTATGCCCCTTTTAAAATGTTACTCAGAACTACGCATGATATTCCATATGTGGTCTGATGAAGTCATTCTATCTCTGCTCTCTTTATTTTCCCCTCCCCTGTGCTTGTGCCTCAGGGAAATAGAGGTTTCTTTGTTTCTCTTATCCAGAGTGGAAATAGATTTCTAGCTCACCCTTCGTACTGTATACATTCAAAATCAAACTCTTCTCTCCACCCCCAGCCAAATCTGTATCTTCCTCCCTCTCTCTCTCTCTCTCTCTCTCTCTCTCTCTCTCTATCTATCTCTCAATATCACCGCCATCCTTCCAGGCTTATTACCTCATTCATCTTCTGACTCCTCTGTCTCTCTCAGAACATATATTCAACTAATAATCAAGTGTTGTTATATCTTACTCCATACCGTTTATTATATTTGTCCCCTTCTTGCAACTCCCCCCGAAATTAGTCTGATACAAGCCCTTATCTCTTCTGTCCTAGAGAATTGTAGTGGTCCTGTTTCTACTCTGTCTCCTCTGCAATCCGTCCTTTACAGTTTTGCTCGTGGAGTGTATCAGTAATGGTCTTTACTGCTCAGAATTGTTCAGTGGTTCCTCATTGTGTGTTTAAGGTATGAACTAATCCTAGCATTCAAAGATGCCCATGATAGTGCTTGGCCTACCTTTTCCCCCCAGTCTCATCCTCACGTGTACTCTAGGCTCCTGCCAGACTGGATTTTATTCTGTTTTTTTGTCCTGCCTTTCCCCATATGTGATCCTTTGTTTATACCATTACCTAATGTTAGAATGGACCCCTTCCTTCCAGTACAAAAAAAAAAACCCCAAAAAAAACCTAAAACAAACAAACTCCATCTGTTGAAGTGCCTCTCCCTTTTCAGGTCCCAGCTTAGATTTCACCTCCTTAAATGGGCTTTGTCTGTTTTCTCAGATTTCTGATAAAACTTTACATAAGCCTCTCCTTTGCACTTCTCACTGCCTCTTGTTTCATATTTATTTTTTTTATCACATTACATTGTAAGCTCCTTGATAGTAGTCTTTGTATCTGTAGATCCCCAGTACCTCATACAGTGCCATATACTTTAAGCAAGGAGTTACTTTGCAAAATTTTGACCAAGTATCAAGAATCTAACTTATGCCGCTTGTTTAGCAAGTTAATGAGTTACTGCTACTCCACAGAACTAGAATTTACACTGCTCTTTGGTTATTGCAGCAAGAGGCCTTTCTCAGTTTCTGTCTTTAGGCCAGAATTTAGACTAGAAGCTGAAGGTTGACATTCTGATTTTTTTTTTTAACATCATCAATTGTAAGTATCCTTCTGAATTCATGGAGTCCTTCTAAAACCCTTACATTTTTTTCTTTGCAGGCAGGTAATCTACAGACTCATTTACGTCGGCATTCTGGCGAAAAACCCTACATCTGTGAAATCTGTGGGAAAAGGTTAGTGCTGAATTTATTCCTATGTGTATACAAAAATAACCCTTTAAGCATAGGTTGTGTTCCCTTGAAAACCAACATATGAGTTTATTCCATTTAATGTCCTTACTTGGTTCCCTTAAAATATGGTGTTAGATGAAAAAAATGTTAGTAAGGAGGGGCAAGTTCCATAGGAACAGTGTTAAAAATGTTATCTTCCTTTATAGAGGGTTAATATAAGATTCATCCTTATGAACAATGTATTTGGTTTTTTTTTTTTTTGTGAAATTCTGTAAGTGTAAATATTATTCCTGTGTATAAGAGGCAGTAGGTCATAGTGGGCAGAGAACTGGCATTAGAGCCAGGAAGACCTGGGTTCAGGTCCAGCCTTTGACTCATACTGTTTTGTGACACTTCTTCTCTTAGTGCTCTAGGCAACTCTTGCATTTAATTAAATTTGTGTATATTTTCTTATTAGAAAACCAAAAGTAGTATATCCTAACAAATTGCATTTTTTTTGTCTTAGCTCCTCTAAAACTTGGAACCAAATTCAGTACCTAGTTGTAATAATTTATTCATAGAATCATAGGATGTTAGAGGTGGAATGTCTAATCCAAATGTCTCATTTTAAGGATTAGGAAATAAGTCCCAAAGAAGGGAAGTGGCTTGCCTAGTAAGGTTCTTTTTTCTATTTAAAAATTAATTTTCATTTTTCTTTCAGGAAAGGCAGTTGATATAATGATAAATGTTACAGCATCTGGTTCTGTATCTTATAAAATTAGATAAAAAAGATTTATCAGAGCTCAGTCTAGAACTTAGTCCCCTGCCATTTCCTCTTCATGTACATTGCCTCACATCTCGAATTCCTAGCAGAATCTGCTTTTATTTATTTCCTTTAGATCAGCCCTGCTCAACCTGCACCCCGCCAAAGGATTTCAGGCAGACCTCAAAAAATGTAGAGTTAAAAAAAAACAAAAACAAAAATGTAGAAGAAAACTTCCTCCACATTTTTCGAGGGCAGCCCAAAATCTTTCGGCATGCCTGCGGGCCTCTTAGAGCCTGCAGGCCACAGATTGTGCGGGCCTGCTTTAGATCATCTCTGTTCTATTTTATTTCTGAATATATGATTTTACACTGCATTTTAACCTGTAAAATTCTTGAAGTTCTTTGAAAAACAATTTATTTAATCAATATTATTATTTATAGTTATTAAGAATAAAACCACTGGCATAATGATGATCAATAGTAAAATATTTTGTTCTGTAGTCCATAAAACAGGGTAAGAAAGATTTATCAAACAGTTCTTTTTTTTTTAATGCCTGCCTACATCAAGTCCTAATTTCTTTTTTAAAAGCCAATTTTAGAATAGGTACTTTAGATAAAGATGGACTACATACTCTTGATCACACTCTGATTAAGAATTCAGTACATCCTCTCCTTCAGTGACATGCACTTATGAAGATTCATAGTAGTGTTGAAACATCCTTAATTGAATTTTCATATTCCATTACAGATTTGCAGCCTCTGGTGATGTCCAACGTCACATTATTATTCACTCGGGAGAAAAACCACATTTGTGTGACATCTGTGGTCGAGGTAGTACCAGAATTTTCACTATTCTTTCTTTAAGATTTCTGATTAACATGCAAAGGGTCCATCTTGAGCTCATTCCTATTGCATCCTTTTTAGGGTTTAGTAACTTTAGCAATTTAAAGGAACACAAAAAGACTCACACCGCTGATAAAGTCTTCACCTGTGATGAATGTGGAAAATCTTTTAATATGCAACGCAAATTGGTCAAACACAGGATTAGGCACACTGGCGAGCGACCGTACAGCTGCTCTGCATGCGGTAAGTACTGCCGTTCTTGTCAGGCATCATGCATATGCACAAGGCCTTTCTCTAAAGCTTAAGTCATCTTCATGGTTCAGTAGAGTGAACCCTGCACTGGGAGTCAGGAATGTTGTATTTTTTTCTCAGTCCTCACACTAACTTTGTGATACTGGTCAAGTCACTTGACTTTTCACTCTCAGTTTCTCATCTAGAAAATTAGAATAAAAACTGCCTCTTTCCCAGTACTTTATTTGGACTGTTGTGAGGATTAAATGAGATCATGTATATGAGAATTCTCCATAAATGTTAAATGTTACTATATGGAAGGAAATAATTATTTAGCATTTTGATAATAGAATATTACCTTCTAGTGTCTAAACTAATGTTTTATTTCTACCAGGCCTATAATTTCCTAGTTTGGGAAGCAGCTTGTGGTGGATATAGGGCTGAGTCTTGGGGTCAGGAAGACCTGAGCTCAAATTCAGCTTCACATACTTCCTAGTTGGGTGACCTTGGGCAGGTCACTTAACCGCTCATTGCCTGACCAAAGGATCCATCATTTGGTCAGGAAGGAACCAAGGAGAAGGAAATGGCAAACCATTCCATTATCTTTGCCAAGAAAACCCCATGCACAGCTATGGTCTATGGGGCCACAAAGAGTCGGACACTACTGAACAACTAAACAACAACAAATTTCCTAGTTTTAGTGCGCTTCCTGAGTGGAAATTCCTCTATCAATGCAGATGAACATTTTCTCTACAAATTATAGTCATAGAGCGTTGTCTGGGGCCCTGAGAGGTTGATTGACATAATAATAGTAATAATAGTGGACATTTGTATGGTGCTTTAAGGTTGGAAAGTGCTGTGTATGTGTGTTTGTGTGTGTGTGTGTGTGTGTGTATTTGCTTTCTATTGCTATATGTGCACATACAGACAGTTCTTTATGTAAATTTGTATTACAAATATTTAACTTTATGTCAGGGACTGTCTGATGTTGGCAGCTACCAGGTTGGGCGCTGTGGCAAGGGTGGGGTAAGATCTGGGTATTTTGGAAGTTGAGGCAGGGGCTGTGGTAGGCAGAGTCGTGGTGAACTGGGATGGGCAGGATACGGAGAAGCCCTGAGGCAGTGGGCAATGCTTTGTGAGATAAGCTGGGTACAAGGAAGTAGCCGGACCTTGAGCTCCTGAGGCAAGGGGCAGTGCCACGTGGGAGTGGGACGGCAGAGGACTGAGTTCCCTTTGCTTAGTCCCCTCCCTATATGCAACGTCATCCCCAGACGCCTCTTGTGACCTTCCTGACTTCCTGGGTCCCTTTGTGCAGCACTGACCCCAGACCCCTCCTAAATCTGACTTCCTAGGTCACGTACTCTGTCTATGCGCTAATCCCAGATGCCTCCTCCCTGTATCCGGTCCTAGCCTCCTACGTCACTCCCTCCCCCTTGGTGTGCTAAACTCAGACAGCCCCTTCCGATATCTGACCCTACAATCATTGGCTAGTAAGCGGGCTGGGGAGGAGGGGCTAGGTAGGTTTTTAGGAACAAGCGTGGTCAGATCACACGTGCTCTCTCCTGGCGCCTGTCCTGTTGCTCTGGCCTTGCTGCTTGGGCTTGCTATGATGGCTTGCTGTGATGGCCTCTGAATAAAGCTCTGGTGTTGGCACCTCCCGATGGCTCGTCTCTGTGTGTTGATCCGGCTGAGGACCGAAGACTCGGGAGTGAGTATGACTCTGGTAGTGTGCTCCTTATAGAAGGAGTGGGTACTGGCATACGGCTGGCAGAAGGTCGGCGTGCAGCCAGTATAACTTTACATAAAGAGTTCTGAAAGAAATCCACATCCCAAAAAACACCTGTGTTAACTTTACAGTACTATGCTCTCTGCTTCTGCCCCTCACCTCAGCAGTCTGGGACTTCCCTCTCCCCCCCCAAAAAAAACAGCCTCCAAGTGAAAGCAAAAGAATGAACACAGCCACTGGGTGGGAGTGTGGGGGAGGGTGGGGAGGTCAGAGAGAAAATCTTTACCCTGCTCCACCCACCCATGTGTCTGTCTTCTGTCTATCTGCTCTCAGACCTGTCCTCAGCCCCCACATGTTCCCCGTCCTTTCCTGCCTGTGTCTGGGAGTGGCCTCCCAAGTGTTTGTCAACTCCCCCCCCCCCCCCAAACAGTTTTTTTCGGTTCCCGCCAGGCCCCCCGGGGCTGCCCCCCCCACCCCCATCGTATGTTCCTCTTCCTGCTCTCACTTCTCTATCCCTGGCCTTCACACGTCCTTGAACCCCGTGCCGGCCTCCTTCTCTCCCTTCCTCATGTCTATGGGCAAACTTGCATTTGTAAAAATTGCCTTATGTAGAATGGTCTACTTACATAAAGTGAGAAATGTCTATATATACATTAAATCTCATTGGATTCTCATAGTACTCCTATAAGGTAAGTGTTATTATTGCCCAGAGTTATACAATCATTAGTGTCAGAAATGAATTTAATGCCATAGATTAAATGAATGGGAATGTGAAAAGGTTGCCTTTTAGGTGATGATACCTCTAGGACGTTTGGTTTCCTTATCTTTTTCCTTGCTCTCTCTCACCTTTTTCTTCCTTCCCCACCCCTGATAAGCCTTGTCATTGCCATAGGTATGTCCCTAAGAGGAAGTTTGGAGCCAGAGGTTTCATAAACTGCGTAGACAGAACAGGGGAGAACAGTGGTTGCATCCTGAGCAGAGAAGTCCTCTTGGGCTAGAGAGAGACAAAGAGTTGAGGCCAGATCTAAGGCTGTAGGAGAAGTGGTGTGCTTTCCAGGAAGAAGGAATTGAAGCCGAAGAAAGACGCCTAGTCTGCTGCTGGAGAGTAGGATGAGGTGTACAAACTGGTGACCTTGGCCTCATCAGAGCGCCTCAGTTTCAGTGAACAGTCTAGATTTGTGGTTGGAGTTGCTAGAAGAAACTGTCTTATCCTTTTCCTAATATTTCTTATACCCTTCCTCTTAGAGGCACCTATGTCACAGTGGATAGAGGGCTGAAATTGGAGTCAGGAAGCCCTGAGTTGAAATTCTGCCCTAGACATTTAGTAGCTCTGTGACCCTAGGCAAGTTACTTAACCTTTTTCTGCCTCAGTTACCTCATCTGTAAAATGGGGGTTATAGCATGTTCATTATAGGGTTGTAATGAAGATTAAATGAGATATATAATGTGTTTTGCAGATCTTAAAACTATATAAATATTAGCTATTATAACTCCCCGACCCATAGGTTCTCAATAAATGCTTAACTTTTCTCAATATGCTTTTATAGCAAATTAGCCAAATTTTCACAATGCAAAGACACTGAGTACAGATTGAAAGTGGGGCCTTTTGGCATTTTAATTTGGTTTCCAGAATAATCTATCCCATTTTGTAATACTTAAATCTGGTTTGGAATAATCTCCTGCACAGGGTAGGGCACTTGGCAGTGATGTAGCCACTTATGTATTTCAGTGGCCAGGGTGCCTCTTTCTGCCCTACTGTCTCTCCTCATTCCTTCTGTACAGCCTTTCAGTCGTTATTCCTTTCCTGCCCTGTTTTCCTACTCTTTTCCTTCTTCCTCTAGTTCCTTTCCTCTGCTTCTGTTTTCCTTTCCCTGTTCCTTCTTCAAGAATGCCAAAAATTATTCAAATTTAAATTTGCTGATTAAATGAAACATGAAAAACACACTCCTAGTTTTCTTCAAGGAAGTGTTGTTGTTATTGTTGTTTGTCTTTCATTCTCGAAGAGGACCATGACATCTACTATTTGGTAATATGAGGCAATGCAGCTGACTTTTTTCTTGAAATAAAGGCGAAATTTCCTAATCAGGGTATATGCCTAATGAATCATCTTGATTCCATGTTATCTTTTCTTTTTAGGACTCCCCGTTCTTATGTCTCTGATCATCAAGTGCAAAGCTGCAAATAAGCCTCTCAGTAATAACTTCTGAGAGAATATTTTTTTTGAGCTTCCCCACTACCTCTGTACAGACCTCAGAATTTTCATTGAGATTATGTATTTTTTCTTCATATTGCTTATACAGTGATTCAGCTGACACCTTCTAGAAATGAGCTGTCTCAAATAAAGGCATTTTCCAGCCAACTGAAACATACCCCTATTAAATGCCAAAACCTTGGTTATTTTAGCTGCTTTCTTTGAAATTTCTTCTTAAGATGTAATATTCTTTCCAACTTCCTTAAGCAGAGGATTTGGAGTGGGGAGCCAAACCAGTGATTTCATTCAGTGTACATCACCCCTGATGTAGAAACTCCCTCTGATGCAGGTCTGCGGCTCCCGTTTACTTTGAGCCTTCGAGAGCTGTCTGGGGCATGAGACATAAGGTGACTTGTCCAGGGTCGCACAAGCAACTTATATCAGACAAGACTTGAACCCAGGTCTTCCTGACCCGAGGCTGGTCTTCTGCCAATGACAAGACAAGATGCTGAACAAAAGGCAGCCTTCCCTGGATGGCCGAGGATCTTTATGAACACGAGATACTGTTCTAGTTTATGAAACTGTCGTGTCTCAGCGGCCATTGAGGTGGGCCAGGCTAACCGTCCCTAGAGTGAACGGCTCCAGATGACTTGGCTTTTGGGGGCTTTGTAGTTTTATTGCTGCTGCTCCCATCTGTCAGCGCACCTGTCTCTGACAGTTCACCCTGCCTCTTTCTCATTTGCCATTTCTGATCATAGATGGGCTGAGAAGTTAGGGATCCTAAAATAAGACTGAATATGTACTGAATGAATAAAATTCACAAGTTTTGGAACATAAATTTCGTGACATCTGTTTTAGCACATCAGAAGGGCTTTCTTTTTTCTTTTTTAAACATATTTTATGCTTTTGACTGTTTTGGATAATTGAGATTGACTAATAAGCAGCTTCCAGATAAAGGAGGTTTTATACACGTTAGACATACTGAGAGTTGCCCTACTCCTTGGAAAGAACATTTTACCACGAGACACCCCAATTTCTCGTGCCAATCCTGCCACTGATTTGCCTGTTTGACCTTAGGCAAGTCACTTCCCTTTACTTTTTCTTCATCTGGGAAAGCTTAGGGATTTTTTGGAAACAACAGTCCAGTTTGGTTGGAGTGTAGTATAGTCTAGAAGACGTGACTGGGAAGTTATCATAGGGCCTGATTATGGAGGGCCTTTATCCACAATCTGAAGTTTACTCAGTAAGGAAATAGGAATCATTGAAGGCTTTTTTTTTTTCTAGCTGTGTGACCCTGGGCAAAAATCACTGTTAACCTCTCTCTGCCTCAGTTTCCTAATCTATAAGATGGGGACTACGATAGCATCTACCTCCTAGCATGTTTGTGAGGATCCCACTTGTAAAGTGCTTTGTAAAACCTTAAAGTGCTGTATAAATGCTAACTATTACTATTGTAGTTCAGAGCAGTAACATGACCTATTTAAGTTAGATTATCTAGCATTAGTGTGAAGGATGGATTTGAAAGGGAAGAAAAAGCTATTCAAGGAGGCTATTCAAGGAGGCTAATTTCCATAAAGGTCCAGGCCATTCATATGTGACTGTGTACTGGAGCAGCCATGCCTTCCCACCAGACATCTCTTAGAACCACTCTCCAGGGCAGCCCCCGGCCCTCGACGGCCCATCAGTGAGATTTCATTAGTGGAGGTGCTGGTCATAGAGACTGTCTAGTCCAAACCGCTTGTTCCACATGAATAACTAGAAATCCACTAAGGCTCAAGGACAGAGGAGTCTGTGAATGAGAATGTCATATCAGCTGATAAAAAGGGAAGGGTTTTTTATTCTTAAACATAAGACATTTACTCTAGAGTGTTTTATTTGCTTCCTTATAGGCTCTGATAGGACTCCTAAGATGTGGGATGGTAGATTAAAAAGAGCCCCAGGCTGGGGGTCCCCCTGGCTCATGCCCCAGAGTGTTCAAATGTAAAAGGAGAGAATGCTGTTTGTACTCTACTGGTACTGTAGCTGACGAGGTAGAGGAAGAAAGTATTTTATAAACCTTAAGTACTGTATGAATGTGAGTTATTATTACTGGGAAATGTTTTTTAAAAGTTAAATCTTTCCAATGATCACTTTTTCTTTAAAAAGAAAACAAAACATTTTTTCTTTCTTTTGTCCTAATTTTAGGGAAATGCTTTGGGGAATCAGGCGACCTACGCAGGCATGTCCGAACTCATACTGGAGAAAAGCCGTATACCTGTGAAATTTGTAGCAAATGCTTCTCTCGCTCTGCTGTGCTTCGTCGACACAAAAAAATGCACTGTCAGGCCAGCGCTGAGAGTCCAGCAGCACACGATGAGCTTGTGCGAGTCGATGAAACGTCTGATCTTGAAAAGTCTCAAAGCTCAGACTCCTTTTCCCGAGATATGTCAGCTGCTTTGTTGCCAGGATCTGTGAAGCTCCCTGTCCGTCCCGTAGGGAATTCTTCAGTGGAATTTAGTGGCACTTCATCAGGTTCCTATTGCAAGTTGAGATCCATGATTCAACAAAATGAAGTTACTGACCAGGAGAAATTGAGTCTCCATTTTGCTAAACTCCCCAAACCTCAGATGCAGCAGACACCTCATCAGTCTTACGCTTTCCCGGAGGCAGCAGCATCAGCTGCTGAAGAGCCCCTGCAGTCTGATAGTATGTCCATGATTCGTTCATCTGTGGCAGCTCTTGACAATCATGGTAGTGATACACTGAGCAGCCGGTCATCGTCTGCCACTTACAGGAGCTCGGAAGGACCTTTTTTTTCCAGCATGACTCTTTGGGGTTTAGCTATGAAGACTTTACAAAATGAAAATGAGTTGGATCAGTAACATATTCTATTATTAATTCTCATTCAGCTTGGAACTTGCCAGACTGGGATCACAACTGGATTTTTGAACCACTTTTCACTTTGCTGGTCCCATTCTAACCATTGTAAGAGAAAATGACCAATTCCTTACCCTTGGGAGTAGAGAGAAGGCAAGTTATAGCATCAGCCTTGGCACAGATCACAGTCACAGACCGTAATATCTAGATGAGACATTAAAAGTCCTCTGTTCCATTTTATAAGTAAGACAACTGAAATAGTCTTTCCCTTCCCACCTCTTTCTCCCCCTACCCCCAGAGAAATGACATGTCCATGATCTCATAGGTAGAGCAGAAATGTCGGGTATAGAAAAAGATTTCAGAGACCTGATCCAACCCTCTCAGTTTACAGAAGAGGAAGCTAAAGGTCAGAACAACTTGCCCAGGTCTACACAGAGCCTTTTCAACCCAGTTTGCCTGACTACCAATCCAGTTTTCTTTTCACTACACTATATGTTGTTAGATTATAGCTTGAGTCAGAAAAGCCAGAGGGTTTATAAACTTTTGGTTTACATCATATTGAAAACATTTAGATAATATGTTACTACACACTTGTAACAACTACTGTGCATTTTTTTCCCAGTCAGGATAAAAATTGTGTATCCAAAATTTTATTTTTACATTTGTAAAAAAATAAGACTTCCATTTCCAGTATTTTTATATACATATATATTTTTTAAAAGCCTAAATATTTTGCACAAAGATTTTATTTGTATATCTAACTCATATATTGTAATTTAATTTAATAAATGGAAACTACCTTTCTGTATGGTAGGATATAAACTATATTTTATATGTATATATATTCAGTTCAACAAACATTAAGTGCTTACTATGTCACTGTTAGGTGTTTGTATACTACACAGATACAGCAGAGGCTCTTCTCTCAAGAACTTTATAGTCTAATGGGATGGGCAACAGGACATGTACACAATATAACACATGTACACAAATAACGGAAAAAAGGGAGGATGAGATAAATGCCAGAAGTCTAGGTAAAAGGGTATGAGAAATTTGAGGAAAGACATTTTCACCCTGAACTGGGTCTTAAAGAGAGAGGCCCCCACAGATGGAGTATTTGGGCAGAGGGGCGTTCATTTCAGATACGGAGGATGGCAAGAGCAGAGTCATGGTGGCAGAAGAAGGCAGATTATGAACAAGAAGCAAAAATTAGCTCAGTCGTTCTGGAATGTAAAATGCCATTTTTATTTTGTTAAATACTTCCAAATCACATTTTAATCTAGTTCAGGCCACACTCAGGAGTATTGGGGCCATATACAACCAGGCCCTCATGCGTTGACATATCTGATGTAGCAGACAGATTGAGAGGGAATGGACTGGAAGCAAGGAGAAAAGAAATCCAAAAATAGCAGGAGACATAGAGAAAAATCCAAAGGCAAAGTGACCCGTCTGGAGATAATGAGATTTGTTTATGAAGGTTGTAGTTTAGGTCAGGGATTCATAACCTGGAGTCCATTAACTTTTTAATGACTTTCACCGTAATTGGTTTCCTTTGTAATCCATGAATTTAAAAACATTATTTGGAAAAGTAGTCCATACACTTCGCCAGTCTGCCAAAGGGATCCATGACACAAAAATAGGGCAAAGGTCTCAGTTCCATGTGGCTCCCTTTCTCAGCAAAGCTAGAAAGCTTTTTTAAAAAAATACAGATTGTAAATAAAATTTTTGAGACTCCAGGCAATCAATATTGATCGCCAAGATGAGAAGGTGGTCTCCCAGCCAGTTGAATTTGGTGTAATCAGTTATCTACAAGTTCCTCTGACCACCCCACCCCCTATCACTCCATAACAAAAACACCAACCCAGTATCCCGTAAAAATTTTGTTTCTGTAGTAAATCACTGGTTTTAAAAATGCAAATAACCAGTAAGCAAAATTTAAAATAGCATTGAAATACTTAGTAATGAACCATGTCATCCATTGCTTGTATCAGTAAAACAGAAATAGTAGTATAAACTCACTAATGTTCCATTGATTTTTCTGAGAAGCTATAATTCTTAGTTGGACTCTTAATATGCCAAGAGTGGAACCAGGGAAACGAAAAGGCTCCATATGCTGTTACGAGAATTGGAGCCGGTCTGCTGGAAAGTGTCCTCCAAACGTGGCTGCTATTGCCACTGCCACTGTTTTCTCTCCAACTGGGTCTCTCCAGAAAGATTTAAAAACTGCCATGAAGTGGAAAACTTCACCCTGTAGTTCTATCCCTATAATAGCTTGGCGTCTTCCTTACTTAGGAAGAAATACCATTCCCTGGGTTGTTAGTAACACGTCTTCTGGCAAGGCATTCAGTGCAGACATTGCCAGAATGGCTATTCCAGTAGCAAGCCCAAGATTTAAATGGTTGGTCTCCTAGAAGAAGTAAATGGTTTTTCAGAGCTTTGTAATTCAGTGGATTCTGTTCTAGAGCTATTCCGTATTATTAATAACTGACATTTCTGTAGTTCTTTCTGCTTTACAATGTGCATCAATATATTTTCTCATTTAATCCTCTAATCAACCCCTTGAATTAAGCAGTATTGTCCCCATTTTGCAGGTGAAACAAAATTTAAGTGACTTGTGTGTGATTACGCTGCTTGTCGCAGTCTGAAGCTAGGTCTCCTAACTCCCAAATCCAGTGCTCTTTCCATTATACCAAAAAAAGCATGCCTTTTGAGAATCCATAGAGTAGGAACTGTATGTTCCAGGTATTCTTGTTTAAGGAGGGAGGAGAGCCTGGCATCTAGAAACTACCAGCAGAGCTAATTTTCAAAACTTTGACTTTCATTTCCTCCTGTGAATTCATTTTCAGTGCTTGTCTATGTGCAAAAATAGTATAGACAACTCACTTAACAGCATTTGCTTTTAGGGCACATTCAGAAAGGTTAAAAATAAGCTCAAGATGATGGGAGTGATTCATGGCTAGCCAAGCTGTTTGAAAGAGACATCATGCTAACAAAAGATCAGGAATGCAAATTATTTTGGTTAAATGGGAAACAAAAATGCATTTCCTCCCAGAGCTCAGCAGTTCGGGTTACCTTTTATTAGTTTCTGCAATGACCAAGTTAGATGATGCCCATTAAGGCTGTCAAAATCCTCAGACCTACCAAGAATATAATAAGCTCTTTCACTACTGAGTGGTAAGTCTGCATGAAGAAGCCTTGTGATAATTTCTCATGGCCCTGGCCAAAAGCCTAAGACAAAGGCCTAAGCCACTTGCCAGGGTCCTATGGAGCCCAGAAGAATAAAGACAAGGCATCAGGAAACAGGTGACTAAATAATGTTGCAGAACAAGGTCACAGGGCAATAGTCAAAACCCAAAGTATTAGGTTCACAGGTTTAGAGATCAGGGGAGCTGTTTTTTTTCCAACCCATCTTATTATTACAGGATCAGGCATAGGAATGAGTCAAAAGATTTTGCACTAAGATCCCAGCTGTGAAGAAGTCATATTTACATTTGTATCTCCTGCAGCACCTGAAATGGGCCCTAATACGTGCTTAATAGATATTCATTGGATTAAAAAGAATGGTATATTTCCTTATCACCTGCCTCTTGAAGGTGGTACTAGCTCAGAATTAGAAACTCCTCCTGGGTGTGGTCCATCTAAGCATTTAGACTTTACTGTGAGATAGCTCACATTTCTGTACAGCTGAGCAAAAATGAGGCTCAGAGAGGACCCATACAACCAGACACTGTCAGAACCAGACCATGAACCCAGATCTTCTGATTCTGCTACCCCAAAGAACCAGTTCATCTGCCCATTATTATTTCAAACCCCAGCCCCTTTCCCCAGGAGTAGAGTCTGGTGTTACTCTTAAATAAATGTTTTGCTTCTCACTCTGGTAACAGAATTACAAAGAAGAGAGTATTCTTCATACAGTGACTCACCAAGCAATCTTCAACCCCTTAGAATCTGTCCTCAGCCTCATTACTCTCCAAGACCACCAAGGACTTCTCAATCACAAAATTCAGTGGTGTGGATTTTTTGGCAGGATTTGCCACTGTCAACCATCTACTCTCAATACCTCGTTTTCTCTTGACTTCCAAGACACTGCTCTGACCTGGCCTCCCCCCTTCCCTACCCCAGCCTTTCCACAGTTGCTTCTCTTGGCTTTTCTTGGTATGTTTGGACTGGAAGGCATTATAAAGATCATAGACCAACAGCCTCATTTCACAGATGAGGAAACTGAGGACCAGAGGGGCAGCATAGTACAATAGAAAGATCCCTAGTTTTGTAGTTAGGGAATCTGAGGGACCTTGGGCAAATCACTTTTCTTCTCTTCATTTTTATTCAGCAAACACCTACTAAGTGCATTCTGTGTGCCAGCTTCTGAGGATACAAAGACTGAAATGAAAAGCCCTGCCCTTGAAAAGTATATTCTCTCTGGGCCTCCTTTTCCTCATTTATGAAATGAGAGTATTGAAAGATCTCTCCCAGCTCTCAAATCTCTGATTCTATACATGACTCTCCCAAGGTAGCCGAGGAGGGACAATAGTACCCGGGTCTCCTGCATCATGACCCAGTGCCCCTGTCTATACTATGCTGCAAATGGGAAAACTGAATCCCAGAGAAGTGAAGGTACTTGCCCTAAGTCATACCGAAGCTTAAGCACTATGCTAAGCATTAGGGGTACAAAGAAAGGCAAAAGGCAATCTCTGCCCACAAGGAGCTCACGATCTAATAGGGGAAACAACAAGCAAACAACTATATACAAACAAGCTCTATACAGAATAAATTGTAATTATGAGTGCATGCTGTCACTCTTGCGATTCACAAACCGGGAAGCAGACCTTTAGAAGCGTCGAAAGATCATGGATGTTGGCCTAGAAGGGACCTCATCATTTTAAAAATGAGGAAACTGAGGCTCAGAGGTTAAGTGACTTGCTCAGGGTTACTCAGGTAGAATGGATCAGAGGCAGGATTTGAACCCAGGTCTTACAACAGTAAGTCCAGTATGGATTCCTTTCCTTAGCGTGGTCCATTTACCATTGAGAACCATCCTAGCTTTCCTGCTCTTATCTCATGAGTCTCTCTCCACAGTCTCAGTACTCCAAGTCAAACTGGAATGTGCCCCAAACACAGCTTCTGATCTCCTACTTCCTTCCCCATTCCCTACCTCTTCTCTTCTGCCCCAACTCCGACGCCAACTTATCTGTGAAGTCCTCTCTGATCTGCGCAGTTGATAATGACCTTTCCTTCCAGACCATTTTTTGTTTTTCACCCCTCTGGTGCACTTGCCATAGTTTGGGCTGGGTGTCCACCCAGGGTATATACCTGGTGTGTATCCAGATGACATAGTATCTAAGTTAGCTGGCTGTCAGGACAAATCCTTTCCCCCAGGACTGTCACTGCAAGGCAAACTGAGGTCCAGAAACCTGAAGTGACTGTTATGAATTCACCCCTGAGCTGGCACATCCCTCTCAGATAATGTAACGCTTGCTCCTGCTGTCACCGAAAGGGAAACTGAGGCTTGAAAAAGAATATAATACATCCTTTGTCCAGCTACACTCAAGCCTAAAGCCAAGTGATAACCTCCCCAAAGGCTGCAGTATCCCCACTGTCCACATCTCCTTCCCAGTGCTCCATTCTACCTGCCACGGTGGTGCCTGGATTTCACAAATGGTCTGTATGGAAAGGAAATACCATT